ATTCTGCTTTGAACAGTGATGCTTAAAAAAGAACTCTCTTAAGCATAAGCTGCAAAATATCTGATCTCCTGGTTAAGTGCCTGGATGTTCAAAGATTTCCTGAGGTCCTTAAGATTCAACTTGAGAACAAGGTAACTAACGTGCCTGAAGCTCCAAAATGAAGGAACGATTACATTCCAAGGATTTCCAGGGAACTTCTCGGTGTCTTTGCATACGTACCAGGAAGACAATATACATTCAGGACATTTTCGGTGGCAATGAAGGTACCGTACCTGTGATGATGGTAAGGATGGTGGTGGTGGTGGTGGTGGTGGTGGTGGTGGTTGTTGTGGGAGGAGGGATAGTTGTGGGGGGATCTGGATAAAAAAAAAAAAGGAAGATCAAACCCACAATGCTGAACACAACAATGATCAGTAATGACAGAACAAAGGCATGAGGACATTGAGATGTTTGTTTGATGACACCCCCCTCCGAAACCAAGAGCTTCCCCGCCACCCCCCTTCGCCCCCTGCCGAAGATATGTGTCTTGTAATCACAACCCAAAACCTTAGCTGGAAAAGCTAAGAAAAGAAGAAAAGAGGTTTGTGTTAATGAAGCGAAGTAGGGATGAGCCGATGTGAAGGAGAGAAGGGGGGGGGAGTCACATTAGGACACCCCCCCCCAATCTGATTTCAAAGGTGAGGGCAAACCAGCTCCGCGCCTGAGAGGCATTTTGTTTTATGATTTTTCAGATGGGAGAAAGGAGGGAGGAGAGGACGCTGCTCCAGCGGAAGGGCTGCTGTTGGCCAAGGATGAGTGTGCTCTCGCAGCCCTGCTCTCCATGACGGGTAACTTCATTATTCCCCATCAATACATCCCAGCGGGAAGTAAAACTACTTCTATGCCCGTAATAAATACAAAGAAGAGAGAATGTCACCACTAAATATCAAGTTCCAGGCGTGTGAGATTTTACTGAGATTTTATTTTTTTTAAAAGTCAATAAATTTTACAACTTATAAATATTAATACGTCAGTTGCCTTTGCTCACGTTAAAAGCCTGACCTAAGTGGATGGCGGTGATAAGACCAAAAGCCCGCCTTCCATCTTGTAAACAAGAGGACGAAATATAAACGGGGCTTGACCCTCCAAGCCAGGAATCCCAGAGGGAACCCTCCGTCAGATGTTTGATACACTGTATATTCTTCTATCATCTCAGAAATTATTTGGGGGACAAGGGAAGGGCAAATATGAAAGAGAAAAAAAGAAAATCCTGAGCCCAAATGATCAAACTGAATGTGTTAAATTGTCAGCAAGACTTTGAACTAAGCACTCATCCTGCTAAAATAGAGCATAAGACGATTTGAAGGCTTTTGATTTTAAATTTTATCTAAAGCACGTCAACTTTTTCTCCCTGACACATCTGGTGTCCTTTTATCTCCAAGTGAGCTCTCAGATTGTCTAATTAATACATCAAAACTTTAATTATATACTGCACCTTTATTGGCTTTGGTACAACTTCCTGAAAGTTTATGACAACACTATTTTGGTGCCTGGTTGTAAGGTTTGCTTGAGATGATTCCTACTATTGTTCAATAGTAGGAATCCTACTATTGGGAGGGACTGAGGTTTTAATTTTCCTAGCCAGCTTCTCTCACGCATGCACAGTGTATGAATGTGATGGGGAAGAATCAGCAGCAAATTGTTCTGTCTTACGGGAGACTGGTGCTCATTTAAGTTGTGGACACGAGCGATTTAAAGCAGCCTCACAGAGGAGCTCAAAAAGGAATTCAAACAAAAACAACAAAAATTAGAAAAACAAAACAAAAAAACCCCCCAAAACCACACACACACAAAAACCCCACTGTCTGCCAAGAAGCAGAAATGATTAAATAAGTAATTTCAAACCACCTTTTTAGACAAACAGGCAGTGTGTTCAGTCTTGCTTCCTGGCCACTTTCTCATGGAGGCCCCAGGTGAGGAAGCAGTCTGGGACCTGGCAGATCACATGGCTGCACCCACACCTTGCCACAGGCACTGGGACAGACGCAGCCGAGAGGGGGGCAAGGGCCCCTGAGCCAAGCTCTGAAGGCATCCTGTGCCCTCTCCTACCCAACTCAACTGTACCCAGAGAGGTGCCTGCTGCCCAGCATGTGGGCAGCTAATGTGGTTTCTCTGTTCTGGTTCAATTACAATATTTATCACTGGAAAGGAACATCTGTGCCTGGGAGACTTCCCCTGATACACTCTAATGCTATTTCTGTACCTATCTCTCAGAGTATTGGCACAAAATGTGTGATATCCACAATGCAATCAAAGGGGAATGGAAGGTCCATTTTTGAAATATGATTTGAAAATACGATTATGAACAAGGGGTGGACCAGACTAACAAGGGCAGAGACTTCAGAAAAAAGGTCACTGTTCCCTTTCGTTTTTTGAAAATCACACACTTTCAATTATTTTCATCACTACCGGGGTAACTGTTGTCCTTCACATCTGGCTCAAGTGACCTGAATGAATTAGATTCTGTTAACAGGTATAACCTCGTTGCTCAGATCATTTCTAGCAATAAGAGCAACGTGAGGCCACTATTTAAGAAAATACAGGGTTGGAGCTAATGAGCGGTGTTTGACACACAGAGGCTCAAAGAACAAAATCAACTGGGGCTCAGGCACTAACCAGCTAGATTCTCCAAGTCTAGGAGTTATTTCCAGAGAATTAAACATTTTAAAGGCACGTTAACGCTTGCTTCGTAAAGTACTTTTAACATGACTGTAGTAAATATAATAAATCACCTTTGAAAAGAAAATCTACTCGTCATCCTCTCAAATTGCTAGAATATTTTATTAACGGACGAGCAACACTTCAGTCTGGCCTTCTAGCTGCCATTCCAGACAGTGTTACCGGCACAGCCTAAGGGAGGCAGGTAGAATCCTGTAGATCTAGGAGATCCCTGGACGAGGGTAAGTATGCCATTCTGGGTTGGGGAGATGTGTGTGTGAGTGTGTGTGTGTGTGTGTGTGTGTGTGTGTGTGGGAACAGGTAGGTCGCTATGTTTCAGCGAGTGAAATCCCAAACAGTCTCAGGTGGGAGGGAACTGTCCTACTGGGAAGCAGTGAGAATTAGAGGCCCTACAAAGTAAAACACAAATGTCCCTGTAGACTCGGCAGTCAGAAGTGTCATGGCTCGGAAACATAGTAAGCCCGTGAACTTGGGCAGCTTAGGTGACCTTTCTAAGCTTCATCTGTCAACCATACCACGGGATGAGGAAAATGCGTACGCCCTGGGGTTACTGGGGAGATTCGAGGTGCTCATGCACATGCAACATTGGGACACAGTGAGCACTTAACAAACGCTAGCCGTAAGCTGGCGTCCCAAAGGTTTCAAAGACATCTGTGTCCATCAAATCCGCAAAGTTTCTTGTCTTGAGAGCTGGCAACAGGAGGGATGATAAACCAGAGTTGTTCTCCCAGATAACTCAGTCTTCTGGATCAAGGCAGCATACACTAGACTGGTGGGAATTTGCCGCTGCTGTTACCCACCGCGAACCTGGGGGGCAGCAATGGAGGGGGCTCACGGGAGGCTCAAGCCCTCACATACAGAGAGAGATTTATCTCCCAGCCCCTGACATCAGCGGACCGTGAACAGTCTGAGGCACAGGGTGGCTGTGTAATGTCAGCTGAAAAGGGGGCCCAGGGCACCCCCTGGCACCTACACGGGACTGCTGTCCCCTTCGCTGGGATCTCCTCAACCACTGGGGAGAATTAATGCTCTTACATGTGTACAGCACAGACCACATGGGTAACGTATGCAGAAAACACATCTCAGAAGTTTACAAATCAGGTGAGTAGATGTGATCCTATAATTCTGCATTACGTTAAAAGGGGGGGAAAACCCCTAAAACCTCAGGATTAGATCATGAGGATTATATTTGAATATCCAAATAGATATGGTGTAAAACATGCTTCTATGTCCTCAAAAAGACACCAACTCCTGTTTTCTTCAAAAGGAAAGTGGCCAGGTTCTAAGACATAATGGTGTCAATATTCCATAGGTACAGTTATATGTGTGTTAGGTGTATATTCACATACACTTATACTTGGATAATTTACAGGGCTAAGAGGAAGAAAGAAATGTGCACACATATCCATATATTTATAAGATACTGAAATTTTCAGGCCTGTGGTTACTCATTCCATGTCATGTCAGTTGATGACTATGCTTCCTGGTATAAAACCAACCTAGAGACTTTGACTGGACAGCCTGTCATCCTAAGGCTAGAGAGGCAGCGCACTCCTCAACTAAACAGAGAATATTCACCAGATGCAAAACTGACATTAAGATATAAATGGGAAAAAGTCTATAATGCCTGACACGTAGTAGATGCTCAATAAATATTTGCTTGTTAGAGAATGCAATTCATGATAATATATGCTTTAATAGTCCTGTGAAAAGATATTAAGAAAACAGACAAATTTAAAAATAAATGCATTCATGTCTAAAGTAGTAGCCAGTGGTGGTTTATGTAGCTACCAAGGACCCTATATTTTTTCACCAAGTATTTCCCGGCTTGCAACATCTTCGGGAATGTAATAGTTTCATGCTGAAAACAGGATACTTCTGTTCATCAAAGTGGGAGAGAGGGTAGCTGAGGTATCACAGGAAAATACCACTGGGAATAAACTTTCTGAGCTAAATAGCCATTAATTGGTAAGGCTGAATTTTGCAGTCATTATTTCTAACATCATCTCCATTGCTCGTGCCTGAGGACATAGCTCGCCTGCTCAGCATGACCAGGGACTGTGATCTAGCGGGAAATCCCCACGATTAGAGGGAGAGAAGAGAAGTCACTGCTCTCCCAGGTGGAGACACTGGGGTCTACCTCAGGCCAGGCTTCTTTAAGTTCTTGAAGAAAACAAACGTGCTTTCGGTTTTCAACTGGACCAAAAGCTCTGGGAGGGGATCACAAGCAGCAGCTACAAGTAAATGTGTCTGGTAGAAGACCAGTTTAGCTTTCCACGTACCGTAAACATACAGCATATAATCCGAGTGAGCTTTCCCCACTATGTTAGAGGCTTCACAGCGGTATGTACCATTATCTGTTTTGTTTAGGTTATTGATGAACAGGTTGGGCCCGGACAGGACGGCGTGCTGAGGCATTTCGTCATCGACTCTAACCCAGGTCACCATCACCGGCCTGCAGAGGAGAGAGGATGAACACAGGCGGCTTCATTATCTTCCACCAAGACGTGGGCGTCGGCTTCCCACCCACGCATTACAGGAGTCACATGTAGGGTGACACGATTAAGGACATGTTTTAAGTTCATAAAATTATAGCTGTGAAGTCCCCCGAGTCTGTTTGGAATAGACTTTAAAAAAAAAAAAAAAACCAAAACATTATCAGGTGTTGAAAAACTTTCAACAGAGCATAAGCAGGAGTCTCATTATTTCCAATTCCTCTTTAACAAATCAGTAAATAAACCAATGCACCCTATTTTTATGCCCTGCTGTGTGGTTTCACACCGATTCAAACAGGACAGAGCTCACCCATCGTTAATCATCTCATTAATTAGGGGGAAAACAGCAAATTCTTGGCTAGTGATACATGCATTACTCTGATGGTTACTAATACACCAAGACTCTTGCTTTAGAAGCCGCTTGTGATATTTAAAGGGATTTCAAGTTTCACACACACACACACACACACACACACACACACACACAAACAGACTTTTACATCTGAATGCTGCTTTCTTTTGACCTCTGCTGTTGGAAAAACCACCTCTGTTCATTCAGGAAATGTGCAATCATTTCTTTTCCCCTTAACCCCTACCCATAACCTGACTCCCCCAACCCAGTCCACCTTATCTGTGTGTTCCTCTGCAAAATGCCTTGCTTTGCTGGCTCTCCAAGTCCCACATGCTGTCACCCTCTCCCTCTTGTGTGCACCTGCAAGCCCTGCGGCTCAAGGGCAAGGCTTCTGGGTCCGGGTCAGTCACTGAGGGGCGCATCTCCACGTGGGCTCCTTATGGCACTTGCTCAGAGGCACGTTTGTTTTAAAGTACCATGTTTGTGTCCATCAGGGAAAAGCAAATTTCACAAGATGCTCCAGAGCCGAAATCGCACACGCACCAAGTATCTTTCAAACTCACGGAATCTAAAACTCGCATTCTCCAAGGCGGCTCCCTCAACCTCCTGTGACATCGGGGCCATGTGGATGATTGTGCCTGAAACTCTCATTTTAAAGGAAGGGCAGCAGAGACGCGGGCACAGAAGTAACTTCCTGTCGGTCCCCACGGCTACCTCCAGGAGTGGCGACAGGACCAAAGACCCATTGCTTAATGATGAGCAAACACCCAAGTTAGCCCTGTCGAGTAGCGTTCCAATTTTCAAATGGGATGTGAAGTTACAATTTTTCTTTAATTACACATGGGTTTGTCATCACAACCCAGTAAATTATTTAAAAATTAGTCCTGCATATGTGCTCCTTGCAGGCAATGGCAAATGGGTCTGCCTAGCAATCAGATCTAATGTCCTGCTGCTTGACAGCTGAAACAATCAGTGGGGGTAAGTGCTGAGAATATTCACAACATTTAATGGCAAGTTAAATTACCATTTTTATTGTATGCAATTTCTTGAGAAAATAAATAGGTAATATGCTAGAAGGGATCGCAGCAGACTAGTGCGTGCTTGCTCACACAACCATATACCCGTTCCGATCTGAGAGGAACAAATACCTTCTCTGGCATAAATGTCCTGAAGGAAACATGTAATTTACTGTCCCCGTGGCACATTCAATTGAACACAGTACCTTCTTCACGGGAAAAAACCCACAGAAACAAAAGAGAGTTTAGCAAAGCCATATACTGTAAATGTGGTTAATATGGCTGAATATAGGTATTGCAAGTGGCGAGAGGCCTGGGAGAATTTCTTTTTCTCCAACGGATTTTTTTTTTTCTTTTTTTTGAGGCAAGCAAGGTAAGCCACTAACCAGGGCATAGTCCAAACAGTTGACAAAAAGAAAGATCTGCATCTTTTGCCGTGTTCCAAGGAGAAAAAGATCGTTCTCCCAAAGCTTGAAGGGTTTCAAACCAAGTAACTTGGGAACACCAGAGGAAAAGCCAAAGAGAACCAAGACCGCCTCCTACTTCCTAAAGGTCATCTTTAAAGCTGCACGTGGTGTGAGGACAGACAGAAGCAGATTCTAGTCCAAGGAGAGGGAAGCCCGACACAGGGAGGGGTGAAGCGGGAGAGAGCGGATGGCAGCCTCCATCTGGCTCCCCGGTCTCTAGTCAGAGATCACGCCTTGGTGGTAATGGGGACAGTGCTTTCCAGAGATTTCGGGGAAGCTTCCTTAAGATGCTCAGAGCATGTAAATTGTGATAGTCAGGCTGGTTAATAAAAACTCTGAGGGAAAACAAAATCATACCACGGGGACAGCAGAGGGAGCTCAATGCTGCTTTGTTTTGTTTTGCTGGGGACCGCTCAAAGTTTGAGGGCTTATTATCTTGACACTGACTTGTTCCATTTTAGGATTCCGTGGATTGTTTTTTCTGTAAGAAACGGTTAAAGACAATCTTCACTCTCCTAGAAAGAGGAGATTCTCTCCTCTCCCCATGCGAAACTGGATGGACGTCTAAAGTGGCCCCACTATATGGTTTTTTGCTGTATTAGTGATGATATACAGCAGTTTCCCTAATTCACTTTCATTCATTCAGCAGGGAAGCAGCTTCCTTGTACTTTTCAATAAAATAAGAGCGTTAGTAGGTTCTTTCTCTTCTGCAATGGCATACATACATTCCTTGAGAAAAAGCTCTGGGACCATTCCTTACTAACAAAAATATTTCTAGGAGTCACTTTTCTTTGAGGGAAGGAGAAGCAAAATTAAAGGTAGGGCAAATTCATTTTCCAACGGCTGGCCCTAATCACAGCGGCTTAATTTAAGTCTGAAAACCATCTTTCCAGCAGCTTAAGACATTAACACAGAAGGTAGCAGATTTATCATTAGATTGTGGGCATACTAAAAATTATTAGGATTATTTTTTTGTGAGAGAAGATAGTTCTGACAATCATGTTGATGATAATAAAATAGAATTAGCTGAGATTTCAATCTTAGCTGGCATTTCATTTTTCTCCCAATCCTGACCATTAAGAACCAACCGCAGGTATTCATTCCCCTTTTCACTGAATATTCCTTAGTGCTTGAAATATCTTTCATCCTTTATAGCAGGAGACAGGTGACAGGCTGGTGACTTGTGAACGCACATTTCTGTGTTGTGACATTTACTGCTCATGACCCTCTGCCAACCTTGGCCTTCAGAACTTACTGGGGCTTCCCGATGGCTTCGCATGTTAACTCGAGCGCATCCCCTTCCCGGGTTAGGCCTTGTAGAGGGTAAGTCATCTGAATATGCACTTGAGGCTTATCTGTGTGACAACAACACAAAGTATCATGTTTAGCAAATGATACCAGGCAAAAAATCAGACTTGCATGCTGCCACAAACCCCATACCACCAGCACTCCCTCTCTCCCCATCCTCATGCCTTCACTAACATCCTCCTAATTAGTTAGTAATCCTGGCATTTGCTCAAATTAAATTGACTAATAACTCCAAGGAGTGAACCGCGAACAGATAAGAGATTCATAAGCCAACTGTGCCACATCAAACATTTCCTGTGAAATACATTTTGTTACATTGAAGTTTATCTCCAAACTCACTCAAGCTAAAGGAAACTCATTTGCCTTCATGCTGAGGTGAAGCCACAGATATTTGTGGTGCTCAGAATTGATACATTTTATCATATATCATATATTACTATGTGACAATATGTCGTGACAATGCATATTAATAAGTTTGCCTCTTCCATGCTCTAGATTTCAAACGGGAAAGGCTAAACTTCTGAATTCCACTCAAATGGCTTTGAGAATAAAGAAATGGGAGGTTCCGGTGGTCCCAACGAAACTCTTTGATGTTTCAATGTCTATACATGAGAAGGAAGGAAGCGGACAGGTACTGAAGGCCTGGCTCTGGTAGGAACTATCATTGGTGGGGGAATAAGCCCAGTTTTAGGGATCAGAACACTGATACTCAGAGGATGAAGTAGCCAGTCCAAGGTCACGGAGATAACCTAACAAGAGGCAGCCCTGCGAATGTTGGGATTTCTGGCTCAAAAGTGTATTTCCCAGTGGCAATCCATAATTAAAACCAAGTATAGCTTCTGAAGGCAGTCAAGTACTTAGCCAAGTGACACAGGTGTTCTTATTATCCACTGGCTACTTAAAACCCGTGTTTGGAGTTTGCGGGGGTTTGGGTCCAAGGAATGAATGGTGGGAGGTGTGGGGCATAGGGAAGGAACCAGAAGGGGTTGGGATTAGCTTAGAAACACATACAAATACATTTACAAATAAAACCTGAACGGGATTGGGAGACTCTTTTTTTTTTTCCTCTGCTGAACTAACAAGCTATTAATCCCTAAATCAGTTTTCTCATTTAATGCAGTGGCTCTATAAATGTGTATTTTTGGAAACGTACCCAAGAGTAACAAATGTGAGAGGGCAAGACATCACTTGGCTGAAAGGTCAAAACAATTTCCATAACTTTACTTTCTCAGACAATCACACCACCTAAACAACAGCCCCTTGGCCTTTTACAAGCAGTGCTTAGCTCATTAACATTCATCCTATGGACTGAGAGGGAAATCAGAAATATGGCAGGGCTCAACTGATCTCAACCTGTACGCGGCTAAAACAAGCTACCCGAGGGGGTCCTCTCGGGAAACAGCTGCCTTCCAGACACATTGGTACAGTCTCGTTCTCATCACAGATCTTTCTGTCTCTGAACACCGTGTGGCATTCAAAACCTTTCAGGAGCGTCTTCTTGTCCACCGGTGTGCACTGCACACTGTGAATGGGTAACCCTTGCTGGGAAGCTAAGCCAGTTGCCCAAGGGGCGTTAAGTTAACAGGCCTGAAAGCTCCAGCTGACCCTTGCAAAGTAACACGGTTCTATTCTTGGACTTGCTGAAAAGGGAACGTTCGAGAGCAAAATGGCATGGAGGTGTCCAGGGACTGGTCACTGGGTTGGGAAGGTCGTCACTAAAGAGACGCAGAAACAGACAAGATAAACGTGATGACCTTGAATGAGGACTGGCTTGCTAGGGAGAAGCAAGAGCTGTGGGCCACCCTCCTTGGAGAGCTTTGGCTATAGCTTACGCTAAATACAACCACTGGGTGACATATGCGAGTCTATTATTTTTGGTGGTATAACACATCAACACAGAGCTGGCTGGTGAAGTTTATTACAAACACAAGATACAAATAAATAAATTAAGTAAGTAAGTAAGTAAGTAAAGCAAGCAACGGGAGAAGGTTATGTTACTGAAAACACTGACAGCCAGACCCGCTCCCTTAAATTTCACATTCAGAAACAGGAGCACTTAATGGAGTTCCTGGTCAGGAAACCTCTGTCATTCTTACCTAGGAACCATTCTGGGTGAGGCTAAATTTAAAGCCCGAAATCTGGGCTGAAATGTAACATTTGCTTATAGGTTAATCTCTGATCCACGGAAGGACTACATTTTCCATGCTCTGCTGACTTCCGCCCATTAATTACGGAGAAGCAGGATGCCTGCTGGCCTATGTGGAAGGTTTTCTCGTTTCCACCCCCCTTGTGTAATTTACAAGTAAACAGAGAGGGTATATTTTTCAGCACATTGCACTAAGGGTTTTACGTGCTCAACTTCCATTAATAATAGAGTGTTGAAAATCTAATCCACTCTTGCCTCTCTTCAGTACCACAGACTTCTAGTTAAACGCTTTTTTTATGTTACTAATGGCTGTTTCCCAGTCGCCAATTACTCACAGAAATTAGGAAGAGCAAGCTAAGGATCTGCTGTACCTGGAACTTATATTTAAAAAAAAATCCTACTAAGCCATAGAAAATGCACCTTCAATTTTGATAACAGATTTTCCCAATTTACTCCTCAGGTTCCTGGAGAAACATCTACCATCTACTTACGGGTACATCTGCCACAGTTACCTTAATAGCTGGCTGAAAAGGTAAACATTAATCTTGTTTGTATTATACAGAAAAATGTCCTCCTCTATTGACACATGCAGTATTTATATGCATATTATCTGACTGGGGGGCAGCTGAGCCATCTTCATACCCAGCCTACAAACCACACAGGCGATCTATGTGCCAAGATCCATCCCCTTCTTTTGCCCTGAAGGAGGAACTCATCTACACTCAACAGGTGGACCAGACACCCTGGGATTCCACTGGCACCTCTAGAACTCAGGGAGGTTAAATTTTCCCAGGAAGATCCTGACTACAATGTGAGTATGTCAAAATCCTGCACAATCCAGATGGCTGACTGAATGGCCCAAAGCTCATCATTTATATTTTAATTATGTTCATAAATCAAACGTTATAACCCACCAAAGCTTTTCTGAAATAGACCCAGACTCTAAGATTTATTTTTAAGTAATGAGGTAAGGCCCAGTACATTTTCTGGGTGATCATTTTACGCCTCAGTTGGTGTTGTAAGGCACAAGGCTACAAGCCAGATGACACTTTCTACCCAAGTGCCATAACTGCCTAGAAATGTATCGCTCAGAATGGCTTAATGTCATTATAAAATGGAACTGCTATATAAAAATAAGAAAAATAGTTAGGTCTGTGCACTTATGGAAAATTACAGTTATAGAGATGGCATCACCAACAGCCAATCAATTAGGTCGAGGGACCTGAGGTTTTCATAATACACCGTAGTTTTTTAAAAACCCTATAAAAGACATTTAGCAAGACTCTTAGAGCAGACAAAATTCATTCATTAGTCAAAGTCACACAGAGGGTTAAATGCCAGGAGGCTTTGGGTCACACTGCAGTAGCAACCAATTAAAAAAATAATATTAGAAAGACATTCCAATTTGATGAGACTTTCTTTAAATGTACTTTGCTCTCTCTATAAAGGGAAAAATATATATAAAAGGAAACTCTTAAAGAGGTTAAGAATGGCTTGCTGGCAGATTACAATTGATTTCATGCCAGTCTGACCTTGCACCACGTTCTATGATCTTTCCAGAAGATGAAGCTCGAGACTCTGTAACCTGTATTCACTTTCCTATGTAAATGAAAAGTCATTGTCTCCTTCTCTCTAGATCACAACACTAACGTAGCAGGTTTTCAAAATTATTTATTAAAAAAAATAATAAATAAAAGGGTACTTTGCAGTTTCCTTTTGCCTGGGATGTCATCCTTCCCATGTACCAAGTAAGAGTACATCTGAGGCATGAGGCAGATGCCTGATACCCCAGCACGAGACTCATTACCCCAGGGGCTCCTGACACCCCCCAACCCCAAGTATTTCTAAATCAGGGAATGTAGGCATCCAATGTCCTTTGATGCACTAACTGCAACCAGGCCCAAGGGCTTGGGTGCAAATTTGCTCCTGCGACTGCATTCGGGACACAGGCTCTTCATGGCCCTTACTTAGATTTCGTCCAATTTCCGAAAATCCGCGAGAGCGGGACTGGATGCCTGCGGAGCAGATGCTAATGGTCTCAGGGCCTCGACCAGGGAGAACTCAAGGGCAGCAAGTGCCCAGACGTATCAGAATGGCTGGGAGAAGTCTGGGTCAGTGCCTGCGCATTCAGGTGGGGAGGCCTCAACTGAAGGGTCTTTGTCAATCATGGAGGATTACTGCAGTTTCGAGGAGCACGACCATGCAAAGATTAACCTGAGATTTGGTGAGTATTAGGGGTTTTCTGGAGCTTGAGGCAAGACTTGGTCCCCACGATACGGCTGCCTGGATTGCTGGGAGAGGCCAGCTTTGCACCGAAGGAAGACAGTGTCTGGTAGCAGGAGGTGACTGGATGGGGTTCAAGAACAGTCACACCGAACTTTCAGAGGACTTCCACATCTTGCAAAAAAACCTTGCTTTCTAATGTCACGACACATTCATGAATAATTCTCACTGCCATTTATTTTGTTTGTTTGCAAGGTGAAAGACCTCCTGCTGTTGCATCTGTTGAAGGAATCGGAGCACTACAACTGTGCTCCAGGAGGACGGTGCTATTAGGAGTGGGAGGAGTCAAACCTGGTGGGAGATGCGGGACCAACGAGCATGTGCCACATCACTGCAGTAGAATGCAATTCCTGCCTGTTGCAACGAGCACGTAGTTTTGTGGAGACTGAAAATCAAATTTTATTCTGTGATGTTGCGACAGAAAATAATGTTTCCAGTGCTTTTTGAAATGGGCGGCACACTCATATACTCTTCCCTATCTTTGAGAAATCTTTAAAATCAGAAAGTGAACGCTGGATGGGAAAAGCCTTACAGCATGATTTTCTCCATAGGAAAGTCAGCTCTGTAAGAACAAAAGTTTTGAGTCTTTTGTATCCTGGTGCCCGGCACATGCAGTAG